GAATGTTCGAGTAATATTTTGCATTCATGAACCTTGATTGTTATTTTAGGTTTTTGTATGATCCCGATTTCAGGCTTTGATAACAAAGGATGAAAGCATCATTCTTCCCAGTGACATCTCATATCAGGCCCTCAGTTTTAGCTATTGATAGAGTTTTATCAACTATGATACATGATTAGAGGTTTGAAGCTATGATTTTAGCTACTGATGGAGTTTAACCAACAATATAGTGAAGCAAGATATTGTTCTTGTTATTAAAACCAACAGTTTCATATAATTTCTCAATCTTCAAAAGATACATGCAAATACAAAAGTTCGGTTTATGTTCACTTTTAAGTTGAATATATGTGTAGTTTGATTGACGAAGTAAATTTGTTCAGATTTTGATAAAACACCATATTTTGACTCAATAATTTACCTCTCTATCCGAGTTTTGACTTTTGAGACTTTCTTAACATGTTAATTGCATCGATAAAAAACTAGATTCCACGCAATGTGTAACACAAACTCATTTTCACAATGAAGTTTATCAAACCTTAAGTCATGTAATCTCAATTCTTCAACAAGTCCGACTAACCAAGTCAATTCTATTAAAGCTTCGATCATGGATTTATATTCAGCCTCAAAAGGAAGATTCTGACGTAATAAATTTCTTCTCTGACTTCAAACTGATAATATATTCTACTAATCTCTTAGATATGAGATAAACCACCAAATCTGAATATAAAAAGACGTAAACCCAATTGTATTTCGAAATTTTGACTAAAATACCATGGCAACATGTAGCTTGGACCTAACTCAATGAGCATGGTAGGGATTAAAAGTCATGTTTGAGGTAGGTTGCATCATTTACTGACTAAAGTTTTTGTACTTTGTAAACCAGACATTTGTGGGTAAAGAAGTTCTATTGCATTATGAGACTCTTGTATGGTGTAGGATCTGCTAATAAATTTCCATATAGAGAATAAGTGAAGACATGATTTAAGAAGGATTTTATATTAGTGATTTCATCAGCAGTATATATAGTGAGAAGGATTATTAGCTTAAATGACAACAACAGTTATGTGTGAATCTATTTTCTTGAGAAACAAACTATGGTCATTCTTTAACTAAAAGTACTTTATATGTCACAATGCGACGTCATCCACCATTTGTATTGGTATTTTTCTTGGATGTTTGAACATCTTTTTCAGGTAATTACTCAGATTTTTATACAATACTTTTAATGTACAGCTGATCTTAGTATCATATGTCCATTGCAGCTGGTATATGTGTTGGAATGTAGGCTTCGGCCTTCTAAGTTAGACAAAAGGCAGGAGGCATAAAGTAAGGAGCCGGCCCTAGCCCAAAAGGAGCCGGCTCTAGTCTCTACCCTAGTTTCCTTGATTAGGAGATAACCCTAATTATGTTTGTCTATATATATTAATCTCATTGTACTTGTAAACATTGTAGCACCTAAATAAAGAAAAACCTAGTTGCCCCCGTGGACTAGCACAATCAATCTGATCGTGTGAACCACGTAAATTCTTGTGTTCTTCTCTTGTTTTTTGGGTTGTGCGTATTGGGTGTGTGACGTTTGACCTAACAATATGAACCCAAAAAATGATAAAGAGTTCATTTGGGTATATGTATACACTTGATGAAATATGATATGCATACAATTTTCAGGTGTGGATATCGTCATATCTTCCCCCATATTCAAACTGAAGCGAGGCATAAGATAATCTGAAAAGGTATAGCTGGTTACACACGACAACGAACCAAGATGACAAGGATATTTTTGTTACCTCTGGAGAGTTCTCATCTTCCCAATCCTCAATGAGACCTTCCAATGCATAAGGAGCATCTTGCATATCTTGAGCATACTCACCTAACATCCATATAAGAGCTGCCTTGGCTTTTGGTTCTTGGACATTATTGCTGCTTATGTTCCCAATAACAGCAATGCAATCATGGCTCCATTGCGGGTATTTTCGCAGCAGATCTTTTACAAGAACCTGAATATAGAGCATTAACATATAACATTACTATGTTCTTTAATGCATGAATGAACTAGTAATATCAACAGCAGCAGCAGCAACACCAACAAGCCTGTCACCGGAAATAGTTGGGGATAGAAAAACCATGAAGAATGAATTAAGAACCCATAATTTTTAGCCTTTATTTTACCAGTGTTTCTGCAGTTACGTAGTCCTTCTCCATCTCCAAAAACTGAAGCAACCTATCAACAATGGCATTTACATCGTATTGCTGAAGTGCAATTTTCCCAACAGCTCTTATAGACTCCCTTGCAATGGGAATATCAACATTTGCAGCATACTCGCACAATTCAGTCACTAATAAGATGAATTCAAAAGAGTCATCCAAAAATAATATATGAAGAGCTAATAGAAAAATATTATTTGACGACAGAACATGTCATAGAAACGAGACAAGAACTGAAAGATGTATTTAACTTGTCTTCACTTGCCTATTTCGTAAGTATTGCTCTCATTTGCCACCGCTGTCAACATTTCAAGCTTCAATTTCTTAACATAGAATGGTTCATTGTATTGACAATAGAAGTGTTTGTAATCTGAAGCAAACAACATTGGTGCACGGATGACCAAAAGATGCAAGTGGCTAAGCACGGCATAGGATTGCTCGGGACTCCCAGAGCTCACAAGAGTAAGTAGAGGGGCTTTGATACGCTCATACACCTAAGAAATTTATAAGGAAAACTACAATTACAACGATTACCCAAAAAGAGAAAGCAATTTTCGGAGCCGTTGATGTAAAAGTCAACTCCTGATAGAGATAGACAACCTTAGATGTAAAGAAGTTGCCATTGTCCAAGTATGGCAATAATAAATAATAAAGATGAGACAAATTAAATTCAATTGTTCTACACCTTTCTTTTTTCCTGCATATTCTAAACAGCCCACCCCTCCCCCCAAACAAGAGAGAGAGAGAGAGAGAGAGAAGATACCCCTCTCCTTCCAACACACAAATTGTGAGTTACAAGACTTGTATACAACTAGTGTTGCTTAAATTGCAGTCAGTAGACGGTGTCTAGTGGAATGCTAAAAGAACAAATAAAATCCTAATATGGCAACCAACATTTTCTCACATATTCATCAACTATGATAATTTTACTACTTGAACTTAAATTACTGGTTGTGATTTATTTATGATATCTACCAGGCTAGCTGTCTCAACTGAAGATTATATGTTCCTGGAAGTCTTTCGTATCACGAGAGTCCAAAAGTTACATGTGTCCTGATCATCCATAAAAATAGAGTCTCGTGCTATTGCTGACATTAGTTGGAAAGTCACTTGGTCACGATGTTTGTTAAAAGATCTTAGTGGGAAAATTCCTCATCCACTAGGGCTTGCACTTGCTAGTAATCAGTTCATTATGCTCGAACAAAGCTTAGACGACTAGATTATCACATTGTGTGTGATACGATTGTGCAGAAATAGAGAGTCCCTATTCTTGTCTACAAACCAACAGTTAGCTTGGCTGAAACAAGGACCAAGGCATCAGGTAACACGTACCTTGTGACTTCATACCAAACAAGAATTGTTTACTTATACACACCAACTTCGGAGTATATTGTATCATATAAAGAGCTGTATGCACATAAGTCTTATGCATAGACTGCACATGCTAGGTTTTTGTAAGAACAGAATAGTGATATCCGCAGGTTTTTAAGGTGTATAGCAAAGTTAATCCTATTTACAAGCCCTAAAATAGTACAGGGACTCGCTTGTTTTATTTTGTAAGGAATTAGCCCAACTACCTTACAATAGAATACAACAATAAAACATCACATGCAATATAAACAATTATCTTCGCTGGTCTTCCTGTGACTTCTCAAAACCATCATCAACAAAGGCTCATAGAAGTACTCAAAAACTACTCTAGATTTAAAATTTACTAGAAACACTCAAACACAAGCATGAAGATATTTTCTTGGAAACCATGGTCACCATGCACATTATAGCTAGTAAGACCAAATATATAATCATAGAAAGCTGATAAATCTAGAATCAACAATATGACATTGCTATCAGCAGTCAAGTGGAACAGAGACTGTAGCCTTAGAGGGTAAATAAAGTCTGTGTTTAGTCTAGGAAATGGATGGATATGAATATATCACAAAGACAAGGAAACAAATCTCACAAGGATATGTCATATTTAAGCACCTGTTGATGAACATCTGTCATAGACATCGTCAATTGTAGAAATAACTTTATGGTTGCTAAAACAACTGCACCATTTGCATGCTGAAGTCTGTCTTCTAGAAGATTCATGATGTCAAATATCTCATTGCTATCAGGTGGTGCATACTTAGAAACCAATTCAAGAACAGTACACTGAGCCCATTCGCTAAATTCCTTGATCCTGCATACAAATACATAAATCAGCTAAAAAACATTACTTGTACGAGGCTAAAAAAAATTGACAAGGTTAAAAATAGATTATGGAAAGAAAGAGAAAACAAACAGCAGCATCTCAAACCCTCAAAACGGAGGGAACAAGCCCCTGACAAGAGGGAAGAGGAAAAGTTTAACTAAACACACAGTACAAAACAACCTCTGTACCAAGTGATAGCAACCAAAATAGGGAAAGGCTAAGGCTATCAATCTATAAGAGAATCAACACAACCAGACACAAGCCAAACTTCCAGAAGCAACTAATCCAACGCAAAGGCGGAAGACTATTGTCTTTTCATCCATTGTGTTTCTGCTACCTTTTTCTCTCCTTTTTGTTTCTATGTACTTATTGTGATGGGAGAGGAACCAACATGAGACATGTAGCAGAAGCAGTAGGTGCACCAACAAAGAGGTTTTCATACCTTGACTTGCAGAGTCACAGCAAGTTGAGACAAAGTGGTTTTCTCACCTTGACTTGCAGTTGCAGAGGCACAGCAAGTGGCGAGAGGCACAGCAACAAAGAGGTTTCTCAGTTCTGTAGACTGATACATTCTCCTCACCTTTGTCATGCACAACTATTTATCTTTGCAGCTAACAAAGAGAGAGTCTAATTGTGAAATGGGAAACTTCTATATTTTAGGCCTTGTGTTCTTGCTCTTGGCTTGATCATTTGCTAATATAAGCATTTCTTGTCCACTTGGTTCCTTCTGTAGGCTTTCTATTTAGTTTCAGTGCTTTGTTTTACATCACATTTGTAATGCAAAGGACCTTCAACCCATTAAATAAACATTAGTTGGCCTAATGTATTGATATCTTCCCTTAATCGAGGTTGAAGTCCGAACTACAAGACAACCAAAACTCCACAAGTTAACACAACGCAAATGCATGGGGAACTTGCCAGGTTACGAGGCTACATGGGAGAAGTTCGTTAAGGGCTATGGGACATGGGAAACTTCTGGGCTACAAGGCTACATGGGAGAAGTTTGACATCATTAACCGCCAATTTCAGGATTTCCACCTTGAGGACATGGTGTCTTTCGGGTAACGAACCTATTTCAGGCAAAGATCAAAAAAAGGATGATCGATATCTTATTTAAGTTAATTGACACAAGTGAATGAGATCTTATTTAAGTTAATTGATATGGGTATTGATATCTCACTTAAGTTAGTTGATATGGTGATTGATATCTTATTTAAGTTCAATGATATCTCAAATAATTTCCTTTTTGTAGCAAAGAAAGCTTCCATATAGCTAATCATATATAGATGGAGGGGGGACGAGAAGGCAGACAAGATCGTAGTAATTTCCTAGTTTACTTGCTATAGTTTTGGAGAGACGGCTCTGTTTTGTTGATTTTTGATCGATTAATCTTTCGATATCAATTTGATTCCTATCAAAACCATTTTTCAGTTGTCATAGACTACAATGACAGATAACACTTGCAAAGCCAATCCAATGAATGGTGAAAAAAGCAGTAAATGTGTCTTTTGAGCTATATGAAACGACATTTGAAGCGGGTTTGAGGGGATGCCAACAATTCATGATACATTGACACGAACATGAAAGAGATATCTAGTACTTTTTACGGACATGGGTGAAAGTCCAAAAGTTCAAGGAGTTCAAATGATTAGAATTCTTGCAAGGATATCAACAATATACAAAATAATTGTAACCTAAAGTAGAGCTAAAAAAAACTTATATTAAGATTCATGATAATTATGTTAATTGGATGCGACTGCTATTATGTTTAAAGTGGTAGAGACTTCTCAAGGACCCTGGCTAGTGAGCCAATTTGCGCATGCTCAGGAGATCAACATGCAATACGTTGACAAACTCATGAGGACTTCGGATGAACCATATATAGAACAAATTGAGCATGTTTCAACATATGCTCCTGCTTGAGGAGGAGCGTTAAGATTATGATAATTAGGTTACTTATAGGTTTGATTATGTTAATGCTCCCATATGATTCCGTAATCTTATGGCCCATGTATGTAAACTATAAATAGGATGTTTGGCTATGAATGTAGACATACTTTCCCTAACCAAAGACATGATAAAAGAACTACAAGTTTTAACGAAGGCTTGCCAAGGTTGATCGTAATAAGGTTTGATGTATAAAGACCAAAATGTAGGCCCTAGTATTCTATGAATTATTTCAGTCTAGAGATCCACGTGACAAGGTTACCAGCCAAAGTGGTATAAGTCACCTAGATCACTACTCAATTAGCGAAATTGGGTATTCCCACAATATGTAGGATATTAATTCCATAAAATAGACATGTTTAGAATTCTTGCTTCATAACTCAGGCACTATCAAGGAAACATAAAATCATGATGATAGCTGTAATAATCATGCATTGAGCCATTAAGTATAACATTGAACAAATAACAGCCCTGTCAAACATTTAAGAAAACCAAAGAACTCCTTAGAAAAGCAATCAAAGTACTTGGGAGTTGGAGTTGGGAGTTTATGTGATGCTTGAGTTCTTATGCATATTGATGGTACTATGATTAGCTCAATTTTTTAGGTCCAACTTGAACTCTAAAAGCAATGATAATTTCATGTTCGAAGCACCTACAAGTATCATGTGAGAGAATAAAACTCATACCTATTTAATAGGTAATATATAATTTGTTTGCTAATCAAGGCCTCTCTCCCTCTTACTGCTTCCTCTGATGAACTTGCTTCCAAGCCCCATATCTCTTGTAGAGCAGATAAACAATTTGCAACCACCTGCACAGTTATAATTATACAAGATGAACCTGAGTCTCAAATTCTCAAATACTTACTTAGATAAACTATAACATTAAAATGTGTCTGGCACTCACACACTTCCTCAGCAAATATAAATTATTGTCACATCAGAAAAAGCACAATGGCACATGCCTTCTTCATATAAACAGAATAGAACCTAAATTAACATCTGGTAAACATTACTTAAGAGTTACAACACAGATAAACATCTCTAATATAAGCAAGCTCACACAAAAATGCAGTAAGCATTCAAAGCATTGAAAAAAAGGTGGGGCTAAAATTGCCATTAGAAAGTCATAGGACTAATGTAAAAATAATATCTATGAGTATTTCATGCAACAATATGTTGGTGCAGTGTAGTACAAAAAGAAGTTCAGAGGGTCTTCTATAAGTCGACAATATTTAATAATCACCAATGCAAAATTAAAACTTATTTTTTGTTTCATATTGCCAAGCGTGACACATTGCTCAATGCCAAGTTGCTCCACACCTACCAAAGGGCCTTTGACCTAGCGGTATGTGAGCCTTTAGACTCCTAGGAGGTCAGGGGTTCAAACCTCACCTTCGTGTGTGAATTTATTTGTTACATTTGCCGTACATAAATATTATATACTTCAAAGAGAAGTTGCTCCACACCTGATGGGCCAAGCACCATGTCCCACATTGCAACATGGACATGGGTTGCGCCATAGGTCCAAACATATGATATAAAACCTCTTTCTAACCATGTCTCATTAAGTCATTATGGCCTACATCTTAACTACCATGGTCAAAAAATAAGGGTGAGGTAAATGAAGTGGCAACAAGGTTTTAAGTGTCTCACATGATTAAAAAGTTCCAGTAAGTTTAACGAGTAAGTTCCATTGGAGTTTGAAGAGCAAGTTCTATAGAATGGTGGAAAGAAAAACACGAATGCTTTTATTTGAATATTCGACCCCTTCAAAATGCAGCCAATAACTAAATTTGTTGAAACTGTAGAAATTATGGTCATTCAAGGAAATGCAATGCCCTTAGAAGTAAGCATATGATAACAGTCATATATCAACATGTGCTTGAAATTCGAAGGATACTAATACTCAAAACATCTATCATCATAGTTAAATTCAAATCAGTTTAGTGTTTCTTATTAACAGTATTGGCTCAAACATTTAACCATTTGCATTGCACTTTTCCAACTCATTAAGGACAAAATTATTAAGGACAAAATTAATTGATGGCATATGCTTTTAATTTCTCCATGTAACCAAGTGTTGCCAACAAAATATGGTATTAAGAATCGAGTCATAGAAGTGTAACAAATGGAAAACATTGATAGTTTTACAAAAGCATCTTACCTGAGAATCTGGATCATTAAGCATCAGATGCTTAAGAAGAGCAGGGAAATCAGCATCCACACAAGTAGAAGCAGATATGTGATACAATTTCAGCACCCCTACAGCTGCAACCATCCTCACATAGCTATTCCCATCCTTCAACCCCGCACCCAATGGCCCCACCAAGTACTCCACCAAGTTCGGCACACGGAGCGAACACAAACTCCTCAATGCCAAACCTCTTATCATTGGGTCTTCGTCCTTGCAATCTCTTTGAAGAAAGTTTATAGTAAGTAACGCAAGATCGGGATTATATTTGGCATAATTACCCACATACAAGTAACACATTTTCTTTAGAACGATATCTGAAGTAGCCGAGCACATCACCATCTCACTGAAAACCGAGGACACATCAATCCCAATTGTCATGTACGAGATCACTTTCTTGAAGAGATCTCGTTTCGAATCATCAGTCCCGGGTGCACGACTCCCAGCCAGCTGTCGAAGCTGCATCTTCAGATCAGAGACCTCCCCTTTACTGGTGGATTTTGGATTTGAATATGAAATTAGAATTATCATAATGCTTACTATAATCTACATATGAATCATTAAATCTAGTGGTGCGGTTGTGATTGTGGCTTTGTTGGCAAACGAGAAAGAAACCTGCATCCTTTTCTTCATTGACTTTTCAAGTAATTAGGGTTTTGCACCAACTCAATTCGATGGATCCAAAGACTTGGAATGTAATCAAAAGGCAAATTAAACAGAATATTCACATATATGACATTATAGAAATTGGTATTTACGGGCATATTTAGGTGTATATGATTGTGAAAAGTATTTGTGTATCTGAGAAAGAGCGATGGAGGTAGCAAGTACCCGGACGGTTGAGAAGGCGAAGGAGATCGCTGAGATTGAGCCGGAGGAGCCATTGCCCGATCTGAGAGAAAGCGTGTGTGGTAATGTCAGTGGAATTTCCTGATCTGGTGTGGTAACAGCGTAAGGGTAAGGATGAGAACCCTTGATTACGGTTGACGATGTTTGTCCGAGTGTTTTTTTGTTTTACGTTCTTAAACGGAGTTCTATGTTTGGAAGGAAAGCAATGTTTCCACTTGAGGGTTAAATTACACCAGGTCGACTGAAAACTATATGAGATCCTATTTGTTTAATTTGCTTAACCGATTAAACATTCAGGTAGGTAACCGGGCAATGGTATCCTCCTTCCCGAAATCAATAACCAAACTTCTTTTTTTTATTGTTCGATCCCAACCAAACCATGTGTTTCACTGATCCATGTTTGGGGACTCGTTAGTTTCTCCCTTCACCCTAGGTTTTATTTGAATTTGAAACCAAAACCGAAATTAACTCAAATAGCAAAGCTCAAAGACCAACTTTATTTTTAGTCACTTTTCAACGCATCTTCCCAAAATAACCAATCTTTACGTATTTAGGTAAAAGCTGAATTTTGGAGAAGAAAATTCTTATGCATATGCATAAGGATTCTTTAGGCAAATTTTTGAATCCTTGCGCAAAAATTTGCATCCTTACGCAGAAATTTGAATCCATACGCTAAAATCTGAATTTTTAAGCAAAATAAATCTTTTCTTTTTTTTTAATCTGAAAATCGAGTTCATGCAAATGCATAAGACATATACATAAACTCTAGCTAAAATGGCAATTCAATTGAAATAGTGCTAAAAAGTGAAGTTCATCGAGTATTTGAGAATTTTCATTGAGTAAGAGGCTTTGGTTGGTTTGACCAGAAGCTTTGGTAGAGGAACCAGAGGAGTTCTGGACCTCTTGGTTGAATTATTTTATAAGTCTATCTTTGGAACCAGATGTCCGATAGATTCAAACAGAATATGGTTTTACATGCAAAAATGTGAAATGGTTTTATTTGAATAATTGTTTTGGTGCTTATCACCCTGCAACTACATAGTAAAAGGGTATCTCACTAGACCTCTAGGTCTAACCCTCAATTTTGTGTTTTCAAATATGTGCTGCAGGAAATGCAGAATATAATGATAGTAAAGGGAAAGGGAAATTGTGAATTATTCCCCCGTGATGAGCTATGTGAAGATCATTTTTTGGATGTGTTTTGAAGAATAGATATTATGGATACAAGAGCATGTATTTTGAAAAATTTAAGTTGTGTATTTTGTATCGTAGACTCTTGTATTATGGACCTTCGTGGGCTTAAACATGTATTCTATGAATGAAATATGTGTTATATGCAATGTGAGTTTTGGGGGTGTTACAGAGATGGTATTAGATCCTGAGTTTAAGGGATTTAGGTATTCACCTGCATGATGCCTAGACTTAAACTATTTCATTGCATATTAGGGTCCCAGACATAGTTAGCACCTTTGGAATAAATATGATAAGTTAAGAGATCAGTGTGTAAGGTATTTTCGGATTACATCTGGCCAATGTAATTTTGAATCTACAGGTACATAACTAAACTTGGACACTTCATTATATGTTTATTAACTTTGATATCTACAGATGACTAGTAGATCCAGAAGGTCTGAAAGGATCACCCGCCCCAATCCCAATGAAGAAGAGGATTCTCCTATTCTTGCCCCTGTTAGTACATCTGAGGGCAGAGACAGAGGCAGAGGCAAAGGCCAAGGCAGAGGGCAGACCAGAGGTAGAATTAGACAGCAAGAAATTGATGTAGATCAAGCAGAATCTAATTCTGAAAATATGAACCAAGAACAGATACCTCAACCAGAATATGTGACTAGAGACATGCTGGCTGAAAAAATGGGAAAGCTAAGGGAAACCTTGACTTTCATTATGAGGATCCCTGCCAGAATCAAGACTGGAAGAGTTGAAATTAATTCACCAGTCACGGTTATCAATAATAAAGAAGGGGACATCAAGATGTTCTTGACTTGCAAACCACCAATCTTCTCGGAGGAAAGAGATCCAATTAAAGCCATGTGTTGAATTAAGGAGATAGAATATGTATTCAACATCATCCGATGTGCAGAAATAGACAAAGTCAGATTTGCGGTTTTTGTTTTAAAGTCAAATATTATTTTGGTAGGAAGTGGAATCCTTGGCCAAACCTGACATCTTACAAACTATGACATGGACAAAATTTGTTAACAGGTTTAAGGAGCAGTTTTACCCAAAGGCTGCCATCAGACAGATGGAAGAAGATTTTTTAAAGTTAAAACAAGGAACCAGAACTATTCATGAATACACATAAAAGTTTATAGAATATTCATGATTTGCAGAGCGCTACATCTCCTCTGAAACAAGAAAAGTGGAGAGATACATCTGGGGGTTGAAACCATCAATCCGAGAATTTGTAATTGCCATGAATCTGGCTACATTCTCATTGACTGTTGATGCAGCAGAGGTAACTGAAAGGAATAAAAAACAGACAAGAAGAAGGAAAGTAATGGAAAAAAGAAAATGGAAAGGTCCATCAACTGGGTATAGAGGACCAAAATCTATAAAGTATGGAAACAGACCTGTATAGAGATTCATCGAAAAGGCTTGTCCACGATGTCACCAGATTCATCAAGGTGACTGTAAAACCGATCCAAGAAAATGCTATCATGTGGTGAGGCAGGTCATCTATCCCGAAATTGCCTAATGACAAAGAGGTGTTTTAACTGCAATTCACCAGACCATCTTAAGCCCAACTGGCCGCAATTGAAGGCACCACAACTCACTATGGGAAGCAATACATCAAGTGCCCATGGAAGACCGAGTATGGGTAGAGGAGGATCAGGAGGGGCACAGGGTCGATCTTTTCAAATGACCAAGCATGAAGCCGAAACTACACCTGATGTAGTGACAAGTACATTTTTCGTGAACTCGTTACATGCTAAAGTGTTATTTGACTCGGATGCAAATTTCTTGTTTGTATCCCCATCATTTGCTCTATGTGCTCATATGAAATTTGTGCCTCTTGACGACAAGTTAGTAGTTGATATTGCAAATGGTCAAGTATCTGTGAATTATATATTCAATAACTGCACTATTATGATCGAGGGATGTGAGCTACCGATCAAACTATTTCCCATGCCTATGAAAGAATTTGATGTAGTAGTTGGAATGGATTGGTTAGCAGAAAACCAGGCCAGTATTGTTTGTGATAAAAAGATGATTAAAATAATACTGCCAGATAGAGGGACAGTTGTTGTTTATGGTGACCATCAAGGTCATCGTACCAGTCTATTATATGTAATGAAAGCCATAAAATGTATTCAAAAGAAGTGTCAGGGATTTCTAGCTTATGTAATTAATGCCAAGAAAGAGAAGGGTAAGCAAGAATTAATTCCGATTGTTAGTGATTATCCTGAAGTTTTCCCAGAAGATTTATCTGGATTACCATCGGAAAGAGTTATTGAATTTGGGATTGATTTGATACCTGGAGCAGCGCCTGTAGCCAAAGCACCATACCTATTAGCTCCGTCAGAATTAAAAGAATTGACTACACAATTAAAGGATTTGTTGGAGAAAGGATTTATCAGACCGAGTACCTCACCCTGGGGAGCTCTAGTTTTGTTTGTGAAAAAGAAAGATGGTTCTATGCGTATGTGTATCAACTATCGGGAACTGAATAAATTGACCATAAAGAACAAGTATCCGTTACCAAGAATTAATGATTTGTTTGATCAACTAGTGGGAGCTAGTTATTTCTCCAAGATTGATTTACGATCAGGCTACCATCAACTGAAAGTTAAAGAGGAAGATATTGCTAAAACCGCTTTTCGGACCAGGTACAGACATCATGAATTTCTGGTTATGCCATTTGGTTTGACTAATGCACCTGCAGCTTTCATGGATTTAATGAATCGAGTATGTAGGGAATACCTTGATAAATTTGTCCTTGTATTTATCGATGATATTCTCATATACTCTAAAACCAAAGAAGAGCACGCAGAACACCTTCGGTTGATACTTGAGCTCTTGAAAAGAGAAAAATTATACGCAAAGTTGTCAAAATGTGAATTATGGTTAAGAGAAGTTCAATTTTTGGGACATGTTATATCTGAGGCAGGGGTAAAAGTGGATCCAACAGAAATCGAAGTCGTTGCAAAATGGGAGGCACCAAAGACATCATTTGAAATTCGAAGTTTCTTGGGATTGGCGGGCTATTACCGCAAGTTTATTCAAGATTTCTCCAAAATAGCCATGCCTTTGACCAAGTTAACTCGAAAAAATGTCAAGTTTTAGTGGGAAGAAGAACAACAGAAAGCCTTTCATTTATTAAAAGATCACCTTTGCAGTGCTCCAATATTGACTTTACTCGATGGAACAAAAGATTTTATGGTATGCAACGACGCGTCAAAGTTTGGTCTGGGATGTGTCTTGATGCAAAGGGGAAAAGTTATATCATACGCATCGCGGCAACTTAAAGATCACGAAAAACAGTACTCAACTCATGACATGGAATTAGCAGTCATGGTCTTCACATTGAAAATATGGAGCATTACCTTTTGGGAACCAAATGCCAGATTTACACTGATCACAAGAGTTTGGAACACCTGTTCAACCAGAATGAATTAAATATGAGGCAACATTGATGGATTGAACTCGTTAATGACTATGATTGTGAAATACTCTGTTGATCCTCTCTCAGTGATTTGATGATAATTCCTTTTCTCTTTCACATTGTATTTGTGTTTCTGTATTTTCAGTTCCAACGATCATCACTGAGTATGTTCAGTGATCGCTGAAGAACTTGCTTTGTAAATTCATCAGAGACAGCAATACTTCAAGAAGACAACACTCACACCAAAGAACCTTCAGCAAACGTCGAAGACTGAAATTGAAGATTAGAGACTGGCGAGTACGTGATCTAAAGCGGTATTCAGTAATTACAAGCCTGTCTATACATGTGTGAAGACTGCTCTAGCTTCAGCGAATGATGATGAGACCTCCAGGTCATTCCAGCATTCAACGATCAAAGGAAGCTTGCTTAGCACGATTGTTGTTGTCTTGTCCTTATGCACACAAAGGACAAACCCATACCCTTACAAAAGTTAGTACGCTACGGAGCCGATTAGTCGACTCTTTGTCCACCAACTTTAGGCAAGGATGTCTACTCAGAAATAGTACTTTTGTACTATTAACTGTAGCAAAGGACAAGCCTTCCTCTTAAGGTTTGAC